CACTATTATTGTTTTGTTGTTCTTATTGTTATTCTTCTTATGATCTACAGGGTTGAAACTTTACTTATTTTGTAGCTGTAGCAGCCACTGGAAAACTTGGGCCTTTGTAAAATATGTCCAAGCACCCAGGTTGTTCATGCTGTGTCAACTCTAAAGCAGGGGCAGCTTCATGGCTGCTGGCATTACGAGGTCAGAGTCTGACAGCAGCCATTCTAACTTGTGCGGTTTGTCTAAAATGTAGACATATCGATCCCATGACATACCCTTTCCAGAGCTATGTCTGCATCCAGTTCAAGAAATAAACAAAGCACTTTTGACATAGACAAAGTAATAATTTTCAAATGTCCAGTAATACATTCTTTAGACCACAGTAATCATTATTCTAAGAGAAAAAAGATGCTCCCAAAAATATTTTTTACCTGAATAATTAATTCATCAGCAAATCTCACTGTAATAAAACATGTCCTAATGAGCTAGCCAGAGGAGAGGAAATTCATCACCTACCTCACAAATATCAACTTGAGAGCACTGCTTATGTCAGACAGAATAATTAATGACTTGAGAGGGGGCACGGAGCAGCACAGTCAAAAAATGTCCTCACCCATCAGTCATTCTGTGTCAATCCAGTTCATGCAGTGCTACTTGCCCCATGGGTACTTGGAAAGGAGACTCGACAGATATACAGGGGACAAGGGACTACATCCATATCTGGCATATCGGATCTTGATTTATCCATGTTGTGTTCTGCTTAGCAGAAAGGCTGCAGCAGTAATTGATCTCTCAGCATGTTGTGTGTACGTGGACCAAGTCCTACACCAGGGTGAACCCCTGTCCCATCAAACTGAATAAACTCCTTCAGAATTTGTTCTTTTCTGTGACAAAACATTTCTTCAGAGACAATCATTCTTGAGGTGTTAGAACAGGGGAGCTGAGCGAGCAGGGGACTGAAGTGCTGAGGCTGGAGTGCTGAGGTGCAGTATTTTAGTAGCTATCATTCACTGTCTGCTTGGCAATAGGAACCCCAACCTCTTGGTGCCATTTGCAAGCAGTTTGCACCACTGGATAAATGTCTGTGTGTGTTCAACGGTTCCTTCTCAACCTCTTCCAATTCTGCTGGGATGTTCTGCTGGGATGTTCCTTATAGGGGCATTTTGCATCACTGCTTCCATAGTAGCCCCATAGTAGTACAGTTCCATCTCTTTGTTAAAGTGTGATGGGCTGGACCAAAGCAGGAAAGGGAAGTGTGACAGGAACATCTCAGGAGGAGTAGATTTCTCAACCTACCAATGTGGGGTGTGGAGAACAAGGAAAATAATAGTGTGGGAGCATGGGCGACTGATGCTTCCTGAGTCTGGGAGGGCATCTGCAGAAGCCGGCGGCAGTGTTGGCAGCAGAGACGGGACTGGCGAGCACCTGCAGAAGCCACCGGTGGCAGTGGTGGGGATGACTCGCAAGCACCTACAGAAGCCGCTGCCGGTGATTGAGACATTATGCTTAACTGAGACATAATTCCCTGCAAAAGTTCCTTCTGGGACTTGCAACTTCAACTCAATCTAGGATGGGCTCCACTGTATGCAACAACGGAGTGCAGTGTTGATCGTCTAAATTATCTTGTGAAAATATCTAGTGGATGTGCAGCATCACATTTCAAAGAAACAACTTTTCAATTCTGCCTAGGTCTTATTTACTTCCAGACAAATGACAAAGCCCTCTGGGAGCCCAGCTCTTCTTGGCACTCAGGTTAGGAGCAATAAACTCTCCTTCCTGCTGCTAGACTGACACATCAGCAAAATCTCTTCTATTAGGCATGTACTTTTGGTGACTTCTCTGTTCCCAAGTGCCCTGGCCAGAATTCAGTCATTTTGCAAAACTGAAATCAAATCTTTGTGGACCAGAGATTATTAAGGATCAGAAAAATGGCTTGACAGCTCTCATCAAACAGAGGCTTATTGACAAAAGTTTCTGTTCCAGAAGTATGTTATTTTTGAACAACTACAAGAAAGAAACATTCCCACGTGTATAGAAGGAGACTTTAAGACTCAATGTGTCTGATTTACAATACAAATGAAGCAATTTATTTAATGAAAATTCAATGCACATGCCTTGAGTTAAAGTTGATGCTACATGATACATGCGCACACGTGGCAGTTTTGTTCACTAGTGCTTTCACCGGTGGCTGATCCAGGATTGTATCCATGGTTGCTTGTATGACAAGGACAATAACTACTTTAATAAAATAGCTGGTACACAGCTGAACTCAAGGCCCAGTGTATGATATAAGGAGTCCTGCATTCCCTCCCCTCCTGCCTCAAGCATTTAACCCATGAGGTAGCATGATGTTAAACCTGAGGGGAACTGGGTTTGGGATCTGGAAGTCAGCTGAAATTTGGGATGTGTCTGGGTCAGGGATGATCTCCAAGTGTGGGAAGGAGTTGGGATGAGAAGGTAAGCTGATGCTGGGTGTTAGTGAAGGAGCAGGATGTTGTGTGTGGCAAAATGTGAAGAAGAACCAGAAAGAAATCCCCTCCCTTTTTGCTATCTCTTTGTGCCCCTGCTGTGCAGTGCCGTGCCCTTACCAGCCTGCTACTGCAGAAATGGGATCACAGAAGTCAATGGGAGACTTTCCAAGGTGGGTTTTGAATGAGGCAGAGGATCCTCATGACTTAAACATGAAATGACTGCCTGCCCAGGCACAGGGGCAACCAGGTAAAAGGAGCCTCCTTCTTCCTGCATGTAATTTGCTACAGTGTTGGTACGTGCATGGAGTAGTGGAGGAAATCATGGAGAGTAGCTGCTGAGAGGCTGTACAGGTAACAGGGCAAGAGACGGAGCATCACCACTAGTGCAGTGGAACTGCCACCAAATGGGAAGTACAGAGTGCAGCTGTCTCTTCTGCAGCTGCCACATGGAAGATATTGAATTTTAGCTGATTTTTTAAATGAAATATTCATAATTTTACAAGGAGGAAGCAAGTTTCACCACCTGAAACCTGTGATCCCACTCCTGCCTTTGTTCAAGGTAATTTGCATCATCAAAGAGCCCAGAGACGCCTCACCGCACAAGAAATTCCTGCCCAGAATAGCATTCCATCCTTTTCCTCCTCTGTGAAATATGAAACGTCATAACCAGAGGGAAATATGACTACATCCTGCTTGCCACTGAACAACTTGAAGGTAAACAGGCTATTCCAACTTTTCTCTGAGCCTAATCTGCATAAAATGAACTGTGACAAACAAGAGATTTTACCACACCTTTAACTCTTCTATGAAATACGAACTTTCAATTTTACCTGGGAGAATTTTGCAACCTTTTCTCCTATGCCTGAAGAACCGTGCTTGTGCCCGAAACCGTGCAATTTTTTTGCAGCATTGAAAAGATATTTGCAGAAATCTAGTTGGCCTAATAAAAGATATCATCTCTACTACGAGTTCTGATTTCTTCTGCAGCTTGCACTCAGACCTGCAGGAGACCTGGGCCTTCTCCAGGCCTGTGCTTGCAGGCAGAAGAGCAGAGCTCTCCGTGGTGCTGATATGAGCTGCCCTGCAGCAGGTGCAGTTCTTCACTCTTTCCCCTGTAGCTGGCTCCTTCCGCACTAAACAGCTCCACACTTCAGCCCTGTTGCCATAACAACACTGCAAACACCTGGATCCCACATGTGGATCCTGTCTGATGCGTTCCGGTACCAAAGTTTTTCTAAAAACTCACTTGGGTACCTGAATCCTGCCTGATCCAGTTCCTTTTTGTATCTCCCCCCATTTAGACAGAAGAATGCTGCTGCTCCTGTTACGGTTGCATTGAAAAGTATTCCCTTCTCCCCTCCAAGCAGGTCCTATATAAGAGGGATGCAAAACCAGAAACAATCTTAGCCCTGAGAATTTGAGTGCCTGCATGTCCCAGGGATTGGGTTATTAGAGTATACCCAGAGCAGCTGGGACTGTATTGAGGTAGAGATGTAGTTAGCTGTGCTAGTCTCAAGTCACCTAGAAGGCAGGGTAGATTTGCACCTTATAGACTAACGGAAGTGTGTAGATGTATCTATCCCTACATATCTAGTATGCCAGTCTATACTTACACCTCATAGACTAACCAAAGTGTGTATATAGAGATCGATTGATCTGTCTGTCAGCCGAAGTGTGTACATCTATCTATCTATCTATCTATCTATCTATCTATCAGCCAAAGTGTGTATATATAAGAGAGAGACTCTATAGACTAATTGAAGTGTGTATATATATAGACAAAATCTATATCTATGCCATCTATATTTACACTTTATAGACAAACTGAAGTGCGTATAGAGAGAGATCGACATCTGTCTGTCTATAGACTAAACAAAGTGCGTCCGTCTGTCTGTCTGTCTATCGGTCTGCCCAAGCGTGTATATATAGAGATATATCTGTGTCTGTCTGTCTATAGACTAACCGAAGTGTGTATAGATAGATATCATCTATAACTATGTCGACGAACCGAAGTGCACATAGACCAAGCTCTGCCTGTCTGGCTGTAGCCCAGCCAGAGCGCGTACCGAGCTAGATCTGTGTCTGTCCGTCTATGTGCACAGCTCGCAGACCAGCCAGCCGCTGTGTCTGTGTCTGTGTCTGTGTCTGCGTCTGCCTAGCGCGCGCGACGCGGAGCCCGTGGGCGGCCGCGCTGCGGGGAGATGCAGCCGTAGCCGCCGTGTCCGCGCGCCCGGCGGGGTCGGCGCTCCCG